CTTCAAGGGATATACGGTATGGTATGTATTTATAAATCACAGAGCCCTTGATATAGGATATTGGGTTTTGTGAGAAGGGAAACTAGAACACATCCGTTGTGGGATAAGACCTCACTAATGGAGCATCTTGCCAAATGTTGGACTGTTGGCAGTAGTAACTCTATTCAATGCTCGTCTTATTCTCAGGGCCTCTAATTAGTGCTGGATCCAAGATAGCTTTTGCTTTGAAAGCATGTCTCCGGTACGCAAAGTGGAGCGGAACAGACATGCCTCCGAGCTATAGGGAAACATCTGTCAATCAGGAAAGGATGGTTACTAAGCGGATCTTCCTCAAGGTATTTTATGCAAGTGAGGAGACTGGTTGCAAAGATGGCTCCCAGCCCTTGAGCCTGACTCATTACAAAAGTAGACATGGTGTGAGCAGTGCCCTAAATTGGAGCGCACATTAATTTGGTGAGCTAGTTAATGTGTTTGTTTTTTTAAGGAATTCAATGTAGTTACCCTGCTGCCCTGAATTTGTCCGATGGTTTTACCTGCACCATTCCATCAATAGTGGTAATACATAATACAATATTTTGCAGTGGTCCACTCTTTTTTTAAAGGAAGGATTGTGTAGCTTGCTCTTGATGAAAAGGACCTACTAGTTAGGATCTTAAACACAAGGGCTTGAATCACACTATTAGTCCCACTAGAGTAGAGGCACAGGATTATTTTGGTGTCAACTCACCGTTAAAGAATTTATTTTAGGACACTCACCTCTGGAACTGCACCTCATCTCCTCTCACTCTGGATGGACCTTGAGAGGAACTTTGTGGAAATAAAATTTATACTTACATATTCACTGTCTCCAAAGTTTCATGCACCCAGCAAAATGCCAGTGTAGAACTTGATTGCAAGACTCAGCAATATTGCCAGATTTGGATGCACGCTTAAAAAGCTAAATTAAAACATGGGGACACTCAAATTACAGAGAAGGTTGCTAGGTTCTGTGCCTTGTTATTACTACAGTGGAGGACTGGGGGCCTTGGAGATGTCTCATCCACCGGGTCACCACAAGTCGAGGTCTACCCGAGGGTAGTTAACAACAAGAACAACAACAAGAGCAACAGCAGCAACAACGACCATAGCAAACTGCATTAATTCTGCAATGCAGATGCAGCCTTGGACAGATTTACCTTAGGATGGGAACCAAATGGAGACAATTTCACCCTATCCTCCTTTTTGTGCAGATGTGTTGACAACCGTAGCCTGAGAGGACAGACACTGCAGGGCTTTACTAGGGCAGTTTTTTGTCTTGTTTTGTTATCTTTCCTGGTGCCCTCCTGGGAAAATTTGAAGTGGAGTGTTGAGATTGACCTCCTCACTAATAAATGCATTAGCGTCACTTGTCAAATGCTGATACATTTGCCTTCCTCCATCTGGTATCTCATGATGTTCCCACATCTCATGATAATGCTGGACCATGTCCTGGTTCCCAGGGCAACTCTGATGGGGGAGGAATTCATTTCAGTACACATTTTAATGTGATCATACTGAATTTCATACTTTTGAACCAATATAGTAGCCAAAAGGCAGCTGTCTTTGAAATTCTCACTTCTCTGGGTATTGCAGGAGACTTTTCCAGTTCCAAAGGGCATGCAAACAAGCACACATTTCCCCACGTTAAGGGGGGGGGGGGAATCCATCCATTCATGAGAAAAAAAAATAATAGGAATAGTGTTTGGGAAAATAAAATCTAATGCATATTAGGCAAACTTGTTTTTTTGGGGGGTTTTTTTTAGGAAATGACCTTCGCATAGAAATATGTATATTTCCATGTGAACTTGTTTAAAAGGAAAAAAAAAATATCCAAGTTCCTAAACAGAAGTTGCATAGCAAAAAGGACTGCATGTGGATTTGTGCATTGACTGTGCAACACAACACTGGTTCCAAGAAAACACACACTCAAGTGTGCAACACAATGCACACAAAAATATACAAGTGTGCAACAAAATGTATACATCAATGTACATGAGCATTATTTGTTTTCCCTGGCAGTAGACCCCATATGCCTGACAACTGACTTTAATATGCACTTATATTGCACTTATTTATTTATTGCACTTTCTCTCTAAAGTGAATCTGAGGTAGCTTGCAATAATGTTAACAATATCCAACTAAAACATTAATGTACAAACGTTTTAAAAAGGAGTTAAATATCGTCATTATTCAATCCTTGGTTACAAATAGTTAAAGCACACACACAAAAAAACATATTTACTGTATAAATTACATTAAATACTGGTAGAGACACTGACAAACTGGGATTTTCTTCTATAGATCAATATGACAGCTTAATGCATTTCTATGTTCTTTTCTTTTATTTTTAAAAAAAATAAACACCACTTTGCCACCTTGCATCAAAATTCAAAATGGATTGCAATATCAGTTTCTTTGTCATGAAAAGGGATGAATATCAGCAGAGTAAATGTCACTCCTGAAGACGCATTATAGACTGATCTGGCCAAAGCTACTTAAAGAGTTCTTAGATGTCTTAATTGAATATATTGAATATATTATCCACAGTTTTCCCACACCTCCGCCCTGGATTTCATTTTAAGACCTGCTTTAATCAAACATCATCTTACCCACACAGCAATTCCATGTTGTTTATGGGGAATATGCAAGACCTTTTCATTGGAAATATTTTCCACTTAGGAATTATAACTGCTGGAAAGAAAGACACGTCTTACAGGAGTTTGATGCATTGGCGCTGTGCTTGAGAGCATTGAGA